GTTTTTGTTAATAGTGCATTAAAAAGATAACTTAGTTTTAGGTCCCGTGATTTTGGGCACCCTATCAAAGGACCACAGTACCAAATGAATGATACCCTACTTAAGGCATGGCCTACCAGATAGCCTTAGGTAATCCGAATGGAAGACACCCCCCAGCCCGGTCAGTTCCGCTAGAAAACAAATTTAAATGAGGATAAAATGAATTTAGGCTTGTACAGGACAAGTCAGCTGGAAGTAGTTCATCCTTTCACAGGTTTGTAATGAACCAGTTCAGTGACTTGCGGGCTTAGTTGGCTTGGTAGATCAACTTTTAGAACACTGGACTGGTATCTTTGATGTCAAGTTTTAAAATTCCATACAAACCTGTTGTGGCTGTATTATCTAGGTTAATTCTTTAATATGCTACCCACAAATGAAACATTATTATCTTTTGTAGTGGAAATTCTGAAGAAAAGACTGTAAACCCAGTTCAGCTTGCTACACAGGAGGCAGAAAGGATTGCGAGAGAAAAGGCGGCTGCACAGAGTGCTGTGGTGAGAGAAAACTGCACTTTTATATTTGGGGTCCTATCCCTCATATTTTACTATAATTCTATCATTGAGATGGTTATTTTATGTTATGCCAGGATCTCCATCATGCTTTATTTTATTTTAAAGCAAGGAAACAAAATGATGAGTTAAAGTGAAGTTATTGTTGATGTACTTTAAAACATCAGGGACCGCGGAGGGGGAGGGGCTAGCCCTACCACTTTTATTGCTGGGATTTATTTCATAGGACTCCAGTTGACATGGAAAAAATTTCCGTGGAATTATTGGACTTTGCCCTATGGAAGAGTGGGATGTTTGCTTGTCAGAACGATGACAACCCGATGTGCGCGCAAGGATAATAAGATGGAAGCCCCAAATGGAGTGATTTGACTTTTTCTCTGCTTTGCATCTTGGAGAGCACCTTTATTGCCACACCGATAATCTATCTAAGGATCTTCAGGGTACTAAGATGGCTGCTGTCAGTGGACAACGCTTGGCAAATCTAACAAAGGGGACACTCACAAAAACTCGCATTGATCAAAGCTTCGACCATTTCTATGCTAATGTTGCCGGCAAGAGTGAAGGCCTGCTTGGCGAACCAACGCTTCCAAGAAAACGACACACTCTGGCCGGACTGAAGGTTGGTGCTGGTGCACCAAGCTATCCCCAAACTGCTAAAGATCACTTTGTACGGGCCTATTATGAGGCTATTGATCTTATCGTCAGGGCTATCTATCAGAAAGTTAATCAGGAAAGCTTCAGCTCTTAAGCCCAGATGGAGACCCTCTTGCTTAAAGCTGCTATAGCTAATGGTGACGACTATGAGGCAGAGTTCAGTTTCTTGAAACATAATACAGAGAAGATGTTGCGATACAGGGGCGCTACCTAGGCAACTAAGTACTATGGAAGAAGGAGAAGATATCATGTTTTGACGAAATCCTGTTGGCGGTTCTAAAGTTTCCAGAACCAGAAAGGAAGCTAATTCAGGAAGACAGTTAAACTTTCTGTAAGCTGCTTGCTGTAAATCCTATTACCAGCGCTGCTGGCGAGGGTTCATTCTCATCCGTACGTACGGCGTCTGAAGACGTGGGGTTGATCCAGGATGGGTGATGAGAGGTTTAGCAACCTAGTAGTAACGTTGAATGGTTACAAGCTGAGAACAGACAGTGTCTCTATAGCTGACGTCGGCACTGCTGACAACTTCAAAGTAGCTATTTTAGGAAGGTTTATTCAACATATTGGCTATACTGGATACTATAACACGTGACGACGTTTATGTTATATTTGTTGAGGCTGTAAATAAGATGGCGCGCAAATGCTAGACTGCGAGTAGTCTCTCTTTTTCTTCAGACTTCAAGGGGAAGTGCACCCGCCTGTGAGCGTGTCTCGGGCGTTTTGCTCGATGGACCAAGAGAAAATTAAAGGGAGACTGCTCGTAGTCTACACAAATTCAAGATAAATGGCGAAACACTGAACTTAATGTTTCTTTGTATTGGCAAGATTTTTTAGCCCTACCACTTTAAAATGGTCTCCACGGTCCCTGATCATGGCATTTTAATTCCCCTTTTACTTTGTGAAGTGTATCATCCATAATTCAAACGGATGTAGTGCTTGCCTGAAGTTGAACCTACCGGCCATACGTATAACAATAATTGTGCAGTTATTTTGAGGCAGTGCTTCGACAAATCAATACAGTTCTGTTCATGATACCTATTTTTTTTCCAAAAAAAATAACCCTGCATTCATCTTACTTGCATTGTTTTGCATTAGTTACAACAGCAACAGCAGCAGCAGCAACAACAATGTCAACAGCAACACCAAAATCCACAAGTAGCTGCACAATCTCAACTTCAACAACCACAGGGAGCCCAAGTTTCCCAACAACCACCTGCAGCCAAGCAAATGCCAACCACTACTCCACAGCTCCCTGCTCAAAAACTTACAGCCACCAGTCAACTGAACTCAACATCTGCTGCTGTAAGTCTATCGTTGTTGTCTTTATGGAGTGTAGAGAAAAATCCCTGAGATTGTATGACCCTCTCAGGTTACTAGAAAAAAATGTAGTGCCCCTCCTAGGGCATGGAACAAACCAAAACCCTTCCCACTTGCTTTAGCAGTACCCAAGTCAGACACTGTGTAGTACAATACTACTGCCACTGCAGTCGTAATGACAAATTAATGAATATCTTTTGTTGAACTGCATTTTTACAGAGGTTTCAAGAATAATACTTTAATTTTATACTAAGAAAACAATCAACAAAAATGTTAAGTTGTTTGGTGAGGACTTAAAATCTCTTAAGGTTTGAAAAAGGGCGTTGAGAGTTTTTTCAATAGGAGTGATGCAGTCTGTACCATCTGGAAGACTCTAATAAGGGAAGGTAGCTCACTGACAGACCAGAAAGTGCTTTTCATAATGGTGTATTTTCACATCAGGTGGTGGTGGGAAAGACGATCTGCACAAACAGTAAGAGCGGAAGCAGGTCTACTGATAGCCTAGATAGCAGTCGTTTCCGCTTCCTTTTAGCCATGTTGAAAAATCACAGGAGAAGCCCAAGTAGAGAAGAAAGCATTTTTCGCTGGCCATCCCTCATCTCCCGCACTTCTCTCACTTGGCTAAGAGGAAGTGGAAATGACTTCTACACAGGCTAGCCTCCTTGAATGGCATGTCATTAAAAATGGTCGAAAGATTTATATATGGCCCAATTTGATATCTCAAGCGCAAGGTGAAAAAGCTGCTATCATACGAATTGAGTATTGACTAATCAGTCATCAGGATGGTACTTGCTTGAATACTTCCCCATTCAAAAGAAAGAGGCGCACCTTAGGAAGGGGTATTCTCGGCTGGGAAATTGTAAAATTACTGTGGAAAAACCAGGTGTAAAGGTAAGTTTTTCCCGGTATTTACACTCAGACATAAATGAGTTTATCTTCTTTCATGCTTTGCTGATAAAGCTAATGCACCTATCAATGTAAACCCCGTGGAGGGGGGCGGGGAGTGCGGGCAAAGGGTGAGGATTTGACAAATTTTAAAATTTTTTGATCAAATTCCCCAGGGTGGGAAACGAAAGGTCAATCAAAAGTGTCAAAAAATCCCCTACCCCAGGGGAAAAAATCTAAACAAACAATACTATAATACTGTATAAAACGAATTAAAAGAACATTTCAACAGTACGCCCTTTCTAAACGTAAGCTCCGTTAAAGTACTCGCTGTAATTAAGTATTTTCTCTCTCCACTAGCATCTCTTATTTTGAACAACAGAATCACTCTAGGAAGATTGACCGTGCTATTATAATATTAATGAAACGTAAAATGCTTTATAACATCTGCTCAACATGTCGGAACAGGTCGGATCAGTAACCCGTAAAAAATCCTCTGACTTTCATGGTGGAATTCGATTTCAATCGAGTTTTACAATCAGATGGGAACTTGAAGATAAAAACTTTCTCAAAATAGACATTATCTGTTTAGATGACAGATTAAAGTATCGGATTATGGCGATTAAAACAAATGAAAACTTCACACCTTTCTCCAACAGCATGACTTTCAGAAAGCCTCGAGGGATGGACTTGGAACCGCTTCTGAATTGATATCAGGCTTCTGTCGGTCAAAGTAAAATTTCCCAACCCCGGGGTCGCTTCGCACGATCAAAAGCCCGACAGGGGGATAGTCTCAGGCATCAAATCCCCGCCTCTTGCCCGCACTCCCCCCTCTCGGGATTTACATTGATAGGTGCAAAAAATAAAGACAATTCAAAGTGACTAATATCAAACAATGTATATCATTTTAATTTCTTTGGTAAGAGCAAAAGCGATTATGTTCAGTGTAGAAGATAAAGACACAAGATATTGTATCAAAGGTTGGGGTTTAGCTTATGAAGGTAAAGGGTTTATGAGCCACTTGCATAATTTTCCCAGAATGCGTCTTCTGCTGGGACATCCACAACAAGAGTGTTGCAGACTCAGCCAAGTCAAGTAAGCAGCCCTCTTGCCACCTCAGGTACTGCAACATCAATGACACTTGGTGCTACCAGCAGCCTAGAACCTGCATCATCATTGACAGTTGTCAGTCAGGTAAAAAACACCTTTACATAATAATTTTGTTTTCAGCAACTACCTCGCAAGTGGAGGTTGGGTGCCTGAGACATCCAGCAGCCTTCGGGGGGTACTTCCTTATAACAGGCTAATGGGGATGTGCCGCTGGGTAGGGTCGCATTTTCACGACTGGATTGACTAAAATGGGGTTGCATTTTCAATAGAGTTGCTAGAATGGGGTCGCACATTTTCGGATTTTTTTGCGTAAGACAGTTCTTCATATTTACAGTTACCAAACGTACCAGAATGTTTGTACTGTAGATGAAAAGTAAAGTGTTCTGCTTCATTCAATCTAAAAAAATGGGTCAATTCATAAAAATAGAAAGTGACTAAGTTGTGATCGCGAAAATTACACATTTGCCCAAAAGTGACTAAGATGGGGTCTATAATTGGTAACAGAATAGACTATAATGGGGTAGGGGCTCTGAGTGCCAAGCAGCACATACACAGCAAAAATTTACCAGAGTAACCCCCCCTTCCAGGATGGTATCCAGCTCCTAGATGGAGACTGCTCCCATTGCCAGCAAATCACACAACCCAGCTGTGAGCCCCACCCACAAAGAAGAGAGCCGGCAGCCATCACACTGACAAACTGTGGAGGGAAAGGGGAAGAGCTCCAAGCTTAATACAACGCCATCACTACAGAAACGCCCGGGCTCACGCCAAACACACTCCGGTCCATGAGCACATGGAATCCTGTTGCATTTGCATCTGTAAATGCCGCTGACCACAAGGGAAGGCTAATGCTCCTTGTTAACTACTTTATTTAAAATTACATTCGACTGCATTAAATAATCATGTATGTGAACTGCAGATAGTACATTGCTCTGATGGTTTAATTTTAAAGAGTTAATAAACATCCCTGAAAAGTAACAATCATGTTCAGTATTCAACCTGGCTTTTGTAATAACTGGTCACAACACCAACCAGTTGGAGACCCGGTCAACTGTGAGTTTGTGATTTACCTGGTGATGGTAATTTATCAAAGTGAGTGTATAAAAATAATCATATGCGTAAAACCCAGACGAAACATATGAATGATGGTGATCCTCTTTTTCTCCTAGGTTGGTCAGCAGACGTCCTCTCCATCAGTTGCTTCTGCAAGTATGTATTGTGTGTGTGATTTGTTTATGTACATGCCCATATTATCAACTCAGTCACTCCATACAAGATCTAGAGTGCTTACCATTTACATGGGAAAACCGGAAATTCCGGTTGGAAATCAAATAGTTCTCGCTGTTCCATTTGGGTGTACTTTATAGCTTTTCGTTCTCCCACCATGTCGAATTGTATAGATTGATGTTTCTGAACAAGATTTCCACCCGGGTGGTTTGTATAAATGACAAGCACCTCTAGTTAACCCCCCTCCCCCTTCCACTCCCCGTCTATCACATACTGCTTGGCCACCACTGGGATTGAAAGTGTAAATGTTGCTCCTTCTGATATGATGTTCTCTGATTTGTGTTGTCAATAGGCCACAGTCTTCCAGTGGGTACCCAGCAGTTTGTAAACCAGGCCGGAGTCAAGCTAACACCCCAGCAAGTTGCTTTAATAAGACAGCATCATATTCAGCAGCAACAATTGAAAAGGCAACAAGCAGATCACATGAAGCAGCAGCAGCAGCAGGTAAAGCGCTTTAAGATTCAGCACGTGAATCAAGGGCAAATTAACCAAGGTGCCAGTACCACTGCTGCCGCTGTTAACATACCTAAGCAAGAAACAGTTCAACAAGCTTCTGTTCAACAGCAACAGCAGCAGGTTGCAGGTGGCTTGCAGGTTCAAAGTCAGGTGGCACCGCAGCCTGTAGTCTCACTTGCGACAGCACAGGTTCAGCAGCAGCAGTCGCAGCAACCTCAGCAGATGGCGACTGTGACACTGGGACAGAGGACTGCTGCTCCAGCTGTTCAGTTACTACAGCAGCAACAACAGGTAGCCCAACAACAGCAGCAAGCACAGCATCAGTCCCCATACCAAATGAGGCTGCGCAATCCACCCAACTAGTTAACAATCCTCAAGCAGGCGACGCGCTCGATACGCGCCCCCTCTTAAGAAAAAAGGCAGAATTGTATTTTGTGCGTGCATCTATTACACAAGAAAAAAACAAATCCGTTCAACTTATACCATGTACAAAGAAACGTTGAAAAATACTCGGTGGCTAGGAAAAAACGCGCCGTTCTCTCCTTTCTCTAAGCATACATTAGGCTGCTTTTTCTTGTGACAGCCTCGTTCCGAGGTTCTCTCCTACTCGCTCCATAGGGACGGGTAGGAGAGAACCCTGGGAACGAGGTTGTTTCTCGTGACTCCTCAAAGGGATAAGGAAAATGCACCAGTTTTGCTACCGTGATTTATAAAATAGTTTTAAAGAAGACGTGCATACAGCTTGTAAATTTTGCTTTAAATTCTTTTGATCGTCCATTTGTAGTGATAAAAGTGGGTGTAAATACACCTTTGTTTAAAAAGGCGGATAATGTATGTTGGCTATGCAGTCAAAGAAGTAAATAAGTAACTTTGTGTATTTTTATTTTCTATTTACGTTGATTGTACTATTACCATATTTAAGGTCCCTGTATCACCTCTCGTCTCATAACAGTGGATTGGGCTTCAAAACGCTTCAGTTAACCCTTGTCAAAACCCCTAACATAGGTGATCATTTTATTTCCCCTCTTGGTAACTCTGCTCAATCAAAAATAAAGGTTGTGAGGAAATAGGAAATGCAAGTAAAACATTTCTTAATTATTAAACAAATTCTCCTCACCAGTAACAAAGATAACATATACTCAACAGTGTGGAGAATGACACTGGCAATATTTGGGTTAAGTGTGGAGGGTTGGGGTGGGGGGCCATTTGTGTTAGTATCACGTTCCTTCATACTAACCACATA